TGACATTATGCACAAGTTGTCTTTCACATTAGGAAAGGCCATTCTATGTCTTTCATATTGATACCTACTGTCCTATCTCAAGACATAATTGTAAGCTCATATGGGGATATGGCTGAAGGATTGACATGACTTTACATATTGCTATTGCCACATCATCAGTTCCTCACATTATGCCCAAGTTGGCTTTCAAGCTAGAGAAGGCTATTCATGTTGATATCTACTCAATACATGGTCAACTTACAACATAACCTGTCTTCAAGACACCTCAAAGGATGAATCAGCCCATCATCCTACAGCCCTCAAAGACCTGTATCAAAGTTGACTATGTTTGGGACAGGCCAGTAGTTATCAATGTGAAAGCAGATACCATAAAAGGCAAACTTGGTCATGATGTCAAAAACTGGTCATGTCATGTCAATGAGCTTGCAATTATGTCTTGAGATAGGACAGTAGGTATCAATATGAAAGACATAGAATGGCCTTTCCTAATGTGAAAGACAACTTGTACATGATGTCAAATACTAATGCTGCAGCACTGGCAATATGATGGCAATCCTTCAACCTCATCCCCATAACATAGATAGGGCCAAGGACACCATAAACTACATGTCAACTACAAACTTTTTTAAATGAAAAAGCAGACACTACAAACTCTTCTAATAAAAAAGCGCAACACTACAAACTTTTGTAGTCTCAAAAAGCGGACACTACAAACTTTTCTAATGAAAAAGCGCAACACTACAAACTTTTGTAGTCTCAAAAAGCGGACACTAAAAACTTTTCTAATGAAAAAGCGCAACACTACAAACTTTTGTAGTCTCAAAAAGCGGACACGACAAACTTTTTTAATGAAAAAGCGCAACACTACAACTTTTGTAGTCTCAAAAAGCGGACACTACAAACTTTTTTAATGAAAAAGCGCACACTACAAACTTTGTAGTCAAGATAACCTTTTGACTCTAACCCTAACTATGTAGTCTAAGTCCATGCTTTTGTAGTCTTTTGTAGTGTATTAGTAAACTTTGTAGTCTAATTTCGACTTTTGTAGTCTTTTATAGTGTATCAGTAAACTGTGTAGTCTAAGTCCGACTTTTTTGTAGTCTATCAGTAAACTTGGTAGTCTATATCTGATTCTTATAGTACGGGATGCACCTTCCTTTTTTAGTCATTTTTCCCATGATACAATAATTGTAGCCCTTTCTTTTAGCTTTCTGAATATACTGAAATCATGTTATTTGGTTTTGTTTTCTTAGAGAAAAACAGAAAAAGAAAAAAAAAAGGTGACGCTTTTGAAATTCCTTTACCTCATATCTCCACAATGGGAGCACTTCAGAACATAATTCAAACAGATTTGGGAAGCTACAGTGTAGGGCTACAACTTTCGTTTCTTGACCATTTTTGGTAATTGGTCATGTGACCACCCTCCAGGGAAGCCCATTGCATGGACCCTGACATGTGGGATACATTTGAAAAATCGCAATGAAATGTCCAGGGCTACATTTGAAATTTTGCAATGAAATACCCAGGGATATATTTGAAAAATCGCTATGAAATACCAAGGGTATCTATTGAAAAATCGCAATGAAATACCCAGGGTATCATTGAAAAATTGCAATGAAATGCCCAGGGCTACATTTGAAAAATCGCAATGAAATGCCCAGGGTATCTATTGAAAAATCGCAATGAAATACCCAGGAATACATTTGAAAAATCGCAATGAAATGCCCAGGGATACATTTGAAAAATCGCAATGAAATGCCCCAGGGCTACATTTGAAATTTTGCAATGAAATACCCAGGGATATATTTGAAAAATCGCTATGAAATACCAAGGGTATCTATTGAAAAATCACAATGAAATACCAAGGGTATCTATTGAAAAATTGCAATGAAATACCCAGGAATACATTTGAAAAATCGCAATGAAATGCCCAGGGTATCTATTGAAAAATCGCAATGAAATACCCAGGAATACATTTGAAAAATCGCAATGAAATGCCCAGGGATACATTTGAAAAATCACAATGAAATGCACCAGGTATCCATTGAAATTTTGCAATGAAATACCCAGGGATACATTTGAAAAATCGCAATGAAATACCAAGGGTATCTATTGAAAAATCACAATGAAATACCCAGGAATACATTTGAAAAATCGCAATGAAATACCCAGGAATACATTTGAAAAATCGCAATGAAATACCCCAGGATACATTTGAAAAATCGCAATGAAATACCCAGGGTATCTATTGAAAAATCGCAATGAAATGCGCCAGGTATCCATTGAAATTTTGCAATGAAATATCCAGGGATACATTTGAAAAATCACAATGAAATACCCAGGAATACATTTGAAAAATCACAATGAAATGCCCAGGGTATCTATTGAAAAACCGCAAAGAAATATCCATGGCTGCATTTGAAATTTCGCAGAAAATGCGCTGGGTATCTATGGAAAATTCACTATGAAATACCCAGGCCTACATTTGAAATGCCTTTCAAAAAATCCTAAGCATTATAGATATGGCCTCTAGGCTTAAGTCTAAGTTATAGAAATGACTCTCTAGGCTTAAGTCTAGGTTATAGATAAAAGTGGTAGCCACCAGTCCACCCAAGAATCTCGATTTCCGCCCATTCACTCAGCTGCCCCCCTGCCCACGGACGGAAACGACTTCTCTAGGCGTAAGTCAGGAGGAGACGCATCTTCGAGCTATAGTTCGCCTCTCTCCTCCCCGCCTGCTTCAGTCACTCCTACTACGCTCCCCGTCGACGAGGAATTGACCGCTGCAGTGCTTCGCTTAGGCATGGAGAGAGGGTACTCCCTTTCTCCCATGTACAACTTGATTCTCGAGTATAATCTAGAGAAGGGGAGTAGCTTATCTACTGCAATGGAAGTGTCATGGATTTTATTGCATCCTAATCTCAACCCTGCGGATATTACTCGTAAGACTGGAGAAGGAGTTGATCCCTACACTTCTATATGTGTCCAGGAAGATCGGCTCGCTCGTATCCTTCGCGCCGTTAACGAACTACAAACATTCCTCAATCGAATGGCCGAACTCATAGAAGAGAGATCACGAGTGTATTGCATCGATCCCGAAGACGCCATGACTACCGCTCTAAGAGGGTGTGAGAGTAGATCGCAACTGGATATGGCCTATAAGATCTTAGTCAAACGACTTCAAGTAGCACAACAGACAGTGATGAAATACAAGGCTGAGTATCAAGGGAACAAAGTTCCCCTATCTCCCGTCTCGACAGCTCCAGAGTTATACAGCGACTTCGAGGAGAGATCACGAGTGTATTGCATCGATCCCGAAGACGCCATGACTACCGCTCTAAGAGGGTGTGAGAGTAGATCGCAACTGGATATGGCCTATAAGATCTTAGTCAAACGACTTCAAGTAGCACAACAGACAGTGATGAAATACAAGGCTGAGTATCAAGGGAACAAAGTTCCCCTATCTCCCGTCTCGACAGCTCCAGAGTTATACAGCGACTTCGAGAGGATTGGAAGCGTGGATGGCCGTATGAGATACTTGCTGGAGAACATCCCGCACCACCAAAGTCAGCTTACGCCCAGTGCGCGACAAGCTGTCAGAGATGGTGTAAGTTGGGACATCCTCCACCCTACGCAGGCGTTGACATGGGACGAACCTGTAAAAGAAAGAACGCCCATCCCTCAACAAGATAGCGACCATAATCCTGCAGAGGTTAAGAAGAAAGTTGACTGGGATGACGATATCTCACCTTGGCCGGATAATAACCCAAGCGTAGAACAAGGCCGTGACCGGTCCCAAGGGCTAGAACCGTCGTTCGGATTCCAAACGCCTTTCAGAACAGGTAAACAGTTCCTAGAACGGACAGATAACTCCAACTCCGGCGTGTTTTTCTCGACCCCCACCTATAACGCCAATCCAGACGTAACGGTTGGCCTCGCCACTCCTTCCCGCTCGAACCTTGGAGATAACGTTAGAGAAGCTATGAACGTAGCTCAGAGTCAAACACACACTTCAAACATTATCACGAACCAAGTCTCGCACACTTGGACAGGTCCTGCTTCCACCTCGCTCACCATATCGCAAGCGAACAACAAGCCGAATGCTAATCCAGGAGGAGGAGGTTCCACAAGTGGCTACCACCTTTATCATAAAACTAAGGCACTTGCCTGTAGAGCTGTGTGTATAAGTCCACAAGTTTTATGAAAGGCCTTTCATAGGTGTGTCCTGTGTTTTCTTTCTCATAAAACCTATGTTCTTTTCATAAGATATAGGCAAGGCCACAGAGTGCTTTTCATAATTAAACCTGTGCGCTTTCAATAGGTATTTCATTCACTGGGTTAGGTGTATTCATTGCCTTTTTCATAATTAATGGTGTGCACTTTCATTGAATATTTCATTAGGAATTTTGGGCGCTTTCATTGCTTTTTTCATAATTAATCCTGTGTGATTTCAATAAATATTTCATTCACTATGTTAGGTGTATTCAATGCCTCTATCATATCTAATGGTGTGCGCTTTCATTGAATATTTCATTAGGAATATTGGATGCTTTCATTGTACTTTTCATAATTAATGTTGTGCAATTTCAATAAATATCTCATTCCCTAGGTCAGGTGTATTCATTGCCTCTTTCATATTTAATGGTGTGCGCTTTCATTGAATATTTCATTAGGAATATTGGATGCTTTCATTGTACTTTTCATAATTAATGTTGTGCAATTTCAATAAATATCTCATTCCCTAGGTCAGGTGTATTCATTGAATATTTCATTAGGAATATTGGATGCTTTCATTGTACTTTTCATAATTAATGCTGTGCAATTTCAATAAATATCTCATTCCCTAGGTCAGGTGTATTCATTGCCTCTTTCATATTTAATTGTGTGCGCTTTCATTGAATATTTCATTAGGAATATTGGATGCTTT